TAATTTTATAAAATTATTGGGCCTCATGCAAGAACCGTTTGTGCGAGCAAAAGTTATAGAATTTAGGATAAGACTGTGAACATGTTGTTGCATGAGGCCCGTTGTTCTTAAATCGAAACCTTTAGAGGAAAACGAGGACACAAAGTTCAAAATACATAAAAATCTGAGAAAAGCTTTAAAATAATTTGTTTTAACCAAAACAGAACAAGTTGCTGTTTTTTCTTTTCACTTTTTTTAAGACAAAACGAGAAATCTTACGAAACGAACTCTTGTTTTTAGCTCATATTTTATTTGTTTATTTAATTGAGTCAGATTTCTTAAATACTTGTTCTTGCAATTTCTGTCTAATCAAAACAGGTCTCTCCTATAAATGAGATCTTGGATTTCAATGAGATTACCTGTATAAAGGTCAAATAAATAAATAAAAATATCAAGTCCTTGTGTTTTTTTTTTACCTCCTGATTCATGGAAAATCAAATTAAATGTATTTTTAGCTCAAACTTCATTAGAAAACTAAAGAAGTTTGACATTTTCTCTAAAGATCTGCATTTCTATGTTTAAAATTTGGCCCGGATGATAAATTAATGAAAAATTCCTCCAGTTTCTTTTTTTTTTTACTTCAAGCCGACCACCTCAGTACATTTCCAGAAAGAAACTGACCGTTTCAGGATATTTTGGGATCCATACGTTGCTAAAACTTATTGGAATAAGATATAATCAGAAGAAATGATTGACAGATTCAGAAGCTGTTTTGTTGTTGTTTGTAAACAGTCACAGATGAGACGTGAAACCAACCGTCTGCTCCTGGTTTTATTTAGTTTTTTTTTATTTAGTTTTTTTATGATTATTATTTGGTGTTGTGTAACTGCAGCTTCATGTTTGTTTTGCTGAATTACCTGTTAACCTCTCCTCTCTCTCTTTGTCTTCCTCCATTAATCCTTTGCTCTCTCAAACTTTGACCTGTCGTCTATCCTCAAATATTTGTGCTTTTAAAGTACAGAAAGATTAAATGTCAGTAATACTCTAAGCTTTTAATGCAGTTTGCTCTTTAACCTGTTTGAAGTTTTAWAGAACAGGATGGTTATAGGTCTAACATTGAGACGAGCTGAAACACAAAACATTTTGGTTTTTTCCTGTTTGAGTAAATAAAAATAATGAAATGATGGGAAATGATTCACTGTAAATTAAAACATTTATTCGAAGCTGATTAAACCAGAATAATCTGAGTAATTTTTTTAAAATGTGGGTAAATTTTAATCGTATCTTTATACCCACAAATGAACAAATTAATTTCTGTGAGAATATTTCYCTCCAAGGTGTTTTCCCTCAAATGATAACAGAACAAAAATCAGTTTGTTTTTCAGAACCTGTCTGTAATCCATGAATAACAGCAGAATTCTTTCAGCTTGTAATGAAAGTTAAACATCTCATTGTTGTAAAGTTTATATGAAATGTAGGGATATTTCCTCAGAGCAGATGGAAMCTGCTCGACTCTCTGATGCTGTGGTTATAAATAGAAGCAGATTCTGAGGGTAAATCCCATCTGTGTGTGTGCAGCTGGTGTTCTACGTGGTGGTTCAGACGTTGTACACTCTGGGTCACAGCCTGTCGCTGATCGCTCTCACCACGGGGAGCGCCATCCTCTGCTTGTTCCGGTACGACCCGATCACACGTAACCACATTAAACAGGAACACAMCTAACATCCATGCACAGAGCAAAATAATTCATATCAATGACCTGATTGTCAAATAAAAGACTGGATTCATTTAATGAAGGGACATCCTGACCAGGGGCGGAGCTAGACTTTTTCCRCAAGGGGTGCCTAAGGACACATACACATACAAATAAAAAAAGCACTCTGAATGCTGGTCCAAACTTATTATTCATCCACTTTTAGACACACAAAACTAAAGAAGTAGCCAAAAATAATTTTTACCAAATGCTAAATGCTAATCAAGAACTCAAGAYGCCCCCCAGCTAATCTTAAAAGGCTATAATTCAGTCATTTTAAKACTTATTGAGATAAAATATTTATTAATTTATTTCATTCTTAAAATCAATAAAGAACCATTAAAAATATTGAATGAAAATGGTGCAGAAGGAAGAAATAATCTTATCTGGCCCTTGTTATAAAACAACTTCATACAACTTAAATGTGAACAGTCTCCATATTTAAGATAAAAAAWTGAAAACAAGAACTAAACAACATAGGGAATCATACAATAGCTTCACTATGTGCTACATAAATTTGGAGGAGAGTAGCTATGATCACATGCTGATTAGCAATGCTAATCTCAAATTAAGCTAACCACTAATGCTAATTTTACAAAGGGCTATAATTCAGCCTTTTATAAACRTACACAGCTGAAAATGTATACAGAGAACAATCTTTAACAAAATCTAAATGTAAATACAACATATTAAATCCCCATCCATCCATCCATCCATTTTCTTCCACCTATCCGGGGTCGGGTCGCAGGGGCAGCAGCTTCAGAAGGGARGCCCAGACCTCCCTCTCCCCAGCCACTTCTTCCAGCTCCTCCGGGGGAACTCCCAGGTGTTCCCAGGCCAGCCGAAAGACATAGTCCCTCCAGCGTGTCCTGGGTCTTCCTCGGGGCCTCCTCCCGGTGGGACGTGCCTGGAACACCTCACCAGGGAGGAGTCCAGGAGGCATCCTTACCAGATGCCCGAGCCACCTCAACTGGCTCCTCTCGACGTGGAGGAGCAGCGGCTCTACTCTGAGTCCCTCCCGAATGACCGAGCTTCTCACCCTATCTCTAAGGGACAGCCCAGCCACCCTGCGGAGGAAACCCATTTCGGCYGCTTGTATCCGGGACCTCGTTCTTTCGGTCATGACCCAAAGCTCATGACCATAGATGAGGGTAGGAACGTAGATCGACCGGTAAATCGAGAGCTTCGCTTTCTGACTCAGCTCTCTCTTTACCACGATGGACCGGTACAGCGCCCGCTTTACAGCAGACGCTGCGTCAATCCGCCTGTCGACCTCCCGCTCCGTTCTTCCCCCATTCGTGAACAAGATCCACAGATACTTAAACTCCTCCACTTGAGACAGGACGACCCCCCTGGCCCGGAGAAGGCACTCTACCCTTTTCTGGCTCAAGACCATGGCCTCGGATTTGGAGGCACTGAGCCTCATCCCGGCCACTTCGCACTCGGCCGCGAACCGCTCCAGCGAGAGCTGCAGATCTCGTTCCGATGAAGCCAACAGGACCACATCATCCGCAAAAAGCAGAGATGCGATCCTAAGRCCACCAAAACGGATCCCCTCAACACCTCGGCTGYGCCTAGAAATTCTGTCCATGAAAGTAATGAACAGAATCGGTGACAAAGGGCAGCCTTGGCAGAGTCCAACTCTCACCGGAAACGAGCCCGACTTACTGCCGGCAATGCGGACCAGATTCTGACACCGGTCATACAAGGACCTGACAGCCCGTATTAAAGGGCCTGGTACCCCATACTCCCGGAGAACCCCCCACAAGGCCCCCCTTGGGACACGGTCGAACGCCTTCTCCAGGTGCACAAAACACATATAGACTGGTAGGTCGAACTCCCATGTACCCTCCAGGACCCTGCTGAGGGTGTAGAGCTGGTCCAGTGTTCCACGACCAGGACGAAARCCACACTGCTCTTCCTGAATCCGAGGTTCGACTATCCGACGGACCCTCCYCTCCAGGACCCCTGAATAGACCTTACCAGGGAGGCTTAAGAGTGTGACCCCCCCTGTAATTGGAGCCCCACCCACTTGTAAATTATTTGGGGTGTGGCCAATCAGGTGCCAGACGTAGCACTTGCCCCTCTGGTCACCTCCCTGGCTCCGCCCCTGATCCCACTGATGAAGAGTTTTTTTCATCCTCAGTCTTTTCAAAATGAGACTGCTCGAAAACTCGACTTCAATCTGAACAGTCACGTCTCATTTAATTYGAGTTTTACATCATTTAGGTAAAATACAGATTGATCCAGATATTGATATTTTAGATACAAACTTSATGCAGTTTAAAGCTCCGAACTCCACCAACCTTCAGCTACAGAAACTTTCTAGAATTCAGGCTGCAGTCTGRTGAAGAGCGTATTTGAATTATAATGAGTGTCACAATTGGGCCAGTGATTCAGAGTTAAACTGCTGCAGGTTTTTGTTAAACCTTCCTGTTTGTAACATCGGTGCAGGAAGCTCCACTGCACCAGGAACTACATCCACCTCAACCTCTTCATCTCCTTCATCCTGAGAGCCGTGGCYGTGCTGGTGAAGGACGACATCATCTTCAACCGAACCTCGCAGTGCTCCAACCAGCCGTCTCTGGTGAGAACACCACCAACAACTCCTTTCCCTCAAAAATTATCCTCACCCAGAAAATGATACACGCAGAGCAGGAAGCTGCACCCTCAGAGATTAACAGTCTGGATTAGGACACGTCTGCCTCCCCACAACCCATACAGGACAAAAGAAAACCTATAATAAGCAGTTAAATTCTACATTTTCTCATCGTTTTTGTTTATTTAAAGTAGCTTTGTATCAAATTTTTGTAATAAATATGAATACATTTTTAAAAAGGTAATATTTTGAACGTATTGCAAAATAAATCACATAAGTGAGATGAACAGTTGTTGAGATAAGTGCTTGTGAAGCGACAGGAAGTGATGTCATAGGTGAATGTCTTTGTGTAAACAGAGCTTCGCTACGACTAACAACACAGACTGTAGAGAAGAATCTGATGTTTCTTTAGATTATTTTGAGATGAAGAAGAGTCAGTTAAAATTATATTTAATGTTTCAATAAACAAAGATCAGAGTTTTATTTCTTAAAGAGTTCCCCTTTTATGTCACTTCCTGTTTAACTTTTGCTGAGCCAAATTCAAAAGAAAAAAATATCAGTTGTGTGAAAAAATAGCTAAAGACGTTATGTATTTGAAGGATGTGAATGCCACGGCTCTTTAATGWTCCTGCGGGGCTGTGTGTCTCTGTCAGGTGGGGTGTAAAGCCAGCTTGGTGTTCTTCCAGTATTTCATCATGGCCAACTTCTTCTGGCTGCTGGTGGAGGGTCTTTACCTGCACACTCTGCTGGTCGTCATCTTCTCTGAAAACCTGCATTTTATCTTCTACATGTTCATCGGCTGGGGTGGGAAGTCTTTTTTTTATTGAACGCCAAAAATTTAAATTGATTTCATGTTCACTGAAAACAATAATTCCACTGCAGTTTAGAAAAACCTTGAAAACACATGACGTTAAAAGGAAAAGAGTTCTTCAGCAGAGCCACRTTTTCTCCAATTATTCCTGCATTTTGAATGTTTCAGAGTGTTTTTTTTTCTCATGTCTTTTAAGTGTAAATGCTATCAGTGGGAGAATGTTTGGTTTGTTTCTAATGACCTTTAGGTGGGTGGAAGAGAAAATAAATGTTCTGACATTTCTCTGTAATGAGACACTCTTTAATATTCACGGATCAGTCCGTGTGTTCAAGACGCAAAGAAAATCAAAGCGGTGGTGAAGTTTCTTTGTGTGTTTCACGCAGGAATCCCCACCGTCTTCGTGTCTGTGTGGGTGATAACACGTGTTTATCTGGAAGACACGGGGTGAGTGACACCAGACACCTGCACTTTGAAGAACTGAACATCTTTTTTGATTTAATGAAACAGCAAAACAACATTTGAAACTTTAAATCTGTCAGCAGCGATCATGGTAATAAATAAAACTCTTTCAGCTAAAACTCATTTAAATTAATTATTTAATAAAGCGCAACTTTTACGGGAGTTTTGCATCTTTGTTGATCTTATTATAATAAACAGAACTGCAGAAAATGAAGTGTTTTGCTGTCAGACTTGTCAGATTTTCCCAGACGCTGGTTTCGTTTGAGTGATGTTGAGTCGAAGTGACAGGCAGATTGTTGGGATGTGGTCTCTGGACCGGACTCTGGACCAGACTCAGCAGCAGAGCCTGAAGGGGAAACTTGTCAGTTTATTGGCTGCTCGGTTTCTCTGAACCTTACTTTATTTATTTATTTATTTATTTATTTATTTATTTATTTATTTATTTATTTATTTATTTATTTATTTATTTATTTATTTTTCGCTAAAAGAATCAACAAACCAGCCAGAAAAAAACATTTTTACTCTGAACAGAGGAGCACACAGGACACAAAAGATTCATTGTTCAAACTATAAAAACATCAACTTGCTGTAATTACTGCATAAAACGACTTTAAAAAGGATCTAAAATGATTTCTTGTGTCTGTAGGTGCTGGGAAAGAAATGATAATCTCATTCCTAACTGGGTGATCAACGGACCAATTGGATTCTCCATCATGGTAGGTAGATGTGGGGGTTTTTGTTTTACAACTTTAAGTGTAAAAAATGCAGAATAWACCACTTATTTAAAAAACAAATGAACAGCAAAACAATGAATCTCCAAATATATTCCAGTTGCCTTGTGAAAACCTGAGTTTTGTGACATTTTAGGTTTAATTAGCCCTAACGAAATGTGAAATGTGTCTGCACTGAGTAGCGTCCTGGTGTGAGGCGTGAGCGTCCTCCGTCTGCAGGGATTAAAGTCACATGACTTCCTGCTGGTTTGATTCCTGCTGACTGGAAGCTCTCCCAACCTTTAAAGGTCTCTCTCAGTGACGGAGGGTGGGTTACACTCAGCAGGTAATCTGCGTCTTCAAGCTATAAGGACATTCATTCAAACTGCTGGACTTGACTGCAAATGTTATCTTTTGTAGAAGTACAGAGGAGAGTAGTACTTTTACTTTATTACAGTACCTAAAGTAGACATATCCTGCCTTTAAATTCTTTTTTTTTTTCACATTTAAATCCTTCAGTTGGGTTTTTATAAAGTGGAACTACAATGATTTGGTCTGAATTCCTCCTTATTTTAACTTTACCAGCTCCTCTTTCACCACTTTTCTGCTGTGTCTCAAACCAGCTGTTTTGTTACTGTTCCTTTATGAGTCTTCAAGCTCCGCCCCCCTCCTGCTTCCAGACCGGTCCACTCCAGTTTGACAGAGGGTTATGTTTTCTAGCTTGAAGAAATATTTTATTTACAATTACAAAGTCCACAACAAAATGTATTTAACAGCTAAGAAAAAGTGGATTTTGCAAATATGTCCCCTTTTAAGTTATTTTTTGAGAATTTGTATTTTTAAAAGTATTTTTTCAAAAAGCTACTTTTACTTTTATTTCATTACATTTAAAACCTAAAAATTATACTTTTACTTCTTTAATTTAAAATTTAACACCTAGTTGCACGTAACAAAATCAAATCTATCCAAACTCATCATGACAGGAGTTGTTTCTGCACTATAAAAATGAAGTGTTGAATTTACTCAACCAATTCAACTGGTTTCACTAAACCTAGCAGAGTATATATGAAGTAATATACAGATTTTCTTTATATTTACCAGTTTAGTCAACTTGGTTTAGTGGAAGCAGTTTGATTCAGTAAATTTAACAGTTTATTTTTTAGAGTGAGTAAAAATACTTTCACTTTGCTGATATTTGTTTTATGACTTTTACTGAAGTATTTTTCTCATCAGTGAAATTTATTTTTACCAAAGTCATTTTCTCTTAAGTTATTTTTTACTTTTACTTAGTTTTTGTTGTTTTTTTTTCCAAGTACTTTATAGACCTCTGTAAAAGTGTTTGAGACAAGTCAGGGTACGATTTAGTGGGGGAACAAATCGACCAGCGTCTGCTAGATTCTGTTCAGGTCCCGTTATGTCTTTTTTCTACATAGATTACAAAATTTTTTATTAAAAATAAAAATATCAGCTGTTCTGTGTAGTTTGTGTCCTGGGTGTTGAAAAGCAAAGATGTTTGAGTTTCACCAAATTTAGAAAACATTTATTTCTTCTTTCAGGTTAACTTCATCCAGTTCATCAACATCATTCGGATCTTGGTCCAGAAGCTGCGCTGTCCCGACATCGGCGGCAACGACCAATCACAGTACAGGTGATTCACAAACAGCATCACATAAAGATTCTATTTCTAACATCAGAAAAGTATTTTAGCTTTAATAATAATACTAAGAAAATATGACAGTTTGTTTTGATATTTAAGTGAGGAAACTCCACCTGTTCTGTTTRCCTTAAAGAAAGGATTCAGCTGAACCCATGAGAAAAAAAACAGATCAACAGAGGCTTTATTTTATCCTCCAGCTGCTCAGAGAGGTACGGACGATGATAACGTGYACTCGACAAGACAGGATTGTAAAAACTGCTCCAGCTCCTCCTTCTGTGGGAGTTCCCACAGACTGCGGAGGAATCAGAGSCGTGTCGGGTTGTCAGGTATCCTCATGTCGCGGAGTTCCAGGGTGATGAAAAGCTGAGATACATCCGGTTTGTTCCAGTTAGTGCAGGAAATAAAGACTGGGTGTCAGGTCAGATCTTAGCTGAGCTGACACTCCAGCATCCGGTTTCAGCTCATCTTCTGGCACCTTAAAGGACAAAAAAAATAAAAAACACTGTTAGAAAAGATTTTACATCCAATTGCATTACTTCCTGTCGATTTTACAAAAATTTTAATTAAGTTGAATTGAGTAAATCCTGAACAGAATTACATKTATTGTTTCGTGTTTTAATGTGTTTTTGTGTCAGGAGGTTAGCCAAGTCCACCCTGCTGCTCATCCCTCTGTTTGGGATCCACTACGTGGTCTTTGTGTGTCTCAGCGAGTCCATCGCCGAGGTTTATAAAATATTCTTTGACCTGGCCCTCGGCTCCTTTCAGGTGTGATACGACTCCTTTTTTTTTTTTCTTCCTGCACACTGTCTGTGGCACCTTTTGTTTCTGATCTTACTCATTTTTGTCATCGTTTTGTTTTTACTTTTWTTTCCAGGGTTTGGTTGTGGCCATCCTCTACTGTTTCCTGAACAGCGAGGTAAGTTGTCTTTTTTCCTGTTTCGATATTAGAATAATAAAGGTTTGGTGACACCTCTTTTTGATCTGGATYAGAGGAAAATATTTCTGTCATTTAGTCTAGAACTCATCATCTTGTTTATTTTTAACATTTCAGAATCAGTGCCAATGAAAACGTAGACCCAATGTTCAGGTTGAAAATCAAGGGAATGTGTTTTATTTTGAAATTAATTTATTTTGGATTCACCATTTTAGGCTTAAGGAAGCAGAAAAATCTCTTCGCATAAGTTGTTTGTTAACCAAATCTRATTTTATATCTCCTGTTTTTAGCCTAGATTAACCACACAAGAGTAACCCCTGGCTGCAGACCGTGGAATGGGGCGGGGTCAGACATCTGACTCCGCCCTCAACTCTGAAATTAACGAACCCCGGATGCTAAATTCTAAAATTAACCACTTCCAATTTTTTAGGCCTCATATTAACCTTCCCTACAAGCTGTGACCACACCCACCGGACGTCAAACCCCGTCTAGTATCCTAATCCGCAATCTGCAGCTGCGGGTACATGAAAAAAATGCAATTTATTTTTAAATGACACTTCAGAAAAACTCAAAAACTTATTTTTTTCCTCTAAACTTTCAGTTTCTATCAACCATTGGCACAAAGAAAGCGAACAGAAACATAAATATTGCTTTATGATGATGATTTAGTAGATATGCCTGACTTTATTTTGAAATTCTCCTCATAGGTCCAGGGGGAGCTGAAGAGGAAATGGCGGAGCGTTTGTCTGAACTGCCACCTGAGCAGAGCTCGTCATTTCAGCAACAACTTCACCTCCAGGAACGGCTCGGAGCAYACCATGCAGTTTCACCGCAACTCCAGAGCTCAGTCCATCCTGCAGTCGGAGACCACCATGCTGTGAGGGGTCCAGAACATTCGCAGGTTTAACCCCCGGCGTCAAAACATTTTACACATTTTTTTAAAAAAGCCGACAGACGCGTGTGAGCGGCTCCGTCTTTTCACAGATCTGCTTGGATCCGTTGTTTGAGGCTTCATGTTTGCTGCTTTGAACAGGAAAAGAATCTGGAGTTTCATGTTTAAACAGRTCGTTGTGACTGAGGTCGCAGGTCTGGATGGGGTACAGACTTGTTCTCTAAATAATGAGTCCAAACGTTGGATACTCTGAGCTAGGAGCAGCGTCATGATTGGAGGCTAATATTTGGTTGCCATGAGGACTCTTAGATCTATCAARAAACATCAACTGAGACAGAATTTGTGAAAATATGTGGCTCATCATGGTGTTTATTGTTCTAAACATAAAGCCAAGTGGATATTTGTATTTTTAAAGCCATTAATCGTTGTTTACCTTCAAATCGGCAGAATCAGCAGTCAAATTTTCAAATTTCTTCATTGCAGCTGCTTCAGGAAGTGCTTTCCAAACTTTGTCAGTTTTGGTTCAAGATTACACCCATTTCAGAATATGCCATTAATTTATTGTACATTTAATGAACTGCRTGTTAAAATCTCTGAACATCTGAAAAAATGTGGGGAAAAACACAGTTTTTCTGATTAAAGATGTTGTTTTGTGCTGCAGAACGTAATTAGAATAGATTTCAGCACAGCTGTCTTACTGAAACAAACTTTTGTTTCATATTTATGGATTGTGTGCTTGAAGAAGAGAAGAATAACTGGGACTAGTCTGCTCGCACACACTTGTTTTTAAAGCTCACATGAAACAAAACACTCAATTAAAAGTCCAGAAATGGAGGTTGGTGCAAATTTATACTGAGCTCCATTCTCCCTTGTTTTCTTATGTAGAAATCTGTAACAACAAACACACTGTTCTGCTGCAACCCACATTTAAAAATAAAATATAAACATAAATTCAGATTTTTTTTTGTCACTACATTCCTTTAAAGTTAAAGAACAGTGTTCATAATAAAATAGTTACTATTATAGAATACTCTAATGGTTTCCAATTAAGATWAAAAAAATAGCAGAAAGTGAAAATGTTGAAAAGTGCACTTTAAATTTTACTAACGAACAAAAAGTATTTTTTTCTTTGTTGTTTGTTTTATCAAACTGAATGTCTTAAATATTCAGCTGCTGCAGTTCACTTTAACTTCTCCTGGATCCTSAGCATAGGCCAGGGCTATTCAACTGGTGGCCCACGGGCCACATCYGGATCGTGGGTGCATAACATCYGGTCCGCCAATGAGCCCCAATTTTTTTAGCTTAATTTAACATAAAAATAGATTTCAAATCATTTATAAACTTAAAATATATGTTTCAATGCAACAAAATAAATTTAAAAAGTAAAACACTTATTCTGTTACATGCTGCAGTGTTTCACCATTAATGGGCAGCCTGAGCTGTGGGGCTTCAAGTAACCCCGGCCACTGGAGAGATTTAGTTTAATATCCCTGGCATAGGCACTGGAGATTAAAAGTTCTGATTATTTCTAAAACAATCATCAGATTATGGTTTTATCTGTTGATGTTTTATCGTAATAATTTGTTTAGTGACAGCAGCAAACCTTTAAGTTTAAACCAACAGAATCGGTTTCATTTCATTCTAAACCTGGCTGAAAGACAAGTTTTGGATTTAAAATACTTTAGTGGTAAACAGAAAACCCTGAGAATTAAAAGTTGTGCCTCTCTGTTTTTGTTGAAAGCCTGGAGTTTGTTGAACATTTGGACTGAAAGTTGTCAGAAATACAAAGTGAAACAAATGCTTCCCTGTAAATTCAGACATAAAAGGCACCAAGTTGTTTCTGTGGCTTTAAATTATTAACATGGTAAACACCATTCCAGACATTACTCTTTTTGTTTCCTGAAATTCTCGACAGTCAGAGGCAGAAGCGTTTGATGAGAACATGAAACCGTCTTTTGATCAGCTCAGTAGTGTTTTTGCCTTTTTCTGTGTYTTTATAAATGGCTGTCAGTCTGTTTGGTTTACTTTCTGTTTGTGTCAAAGACGGCCAGAAAACTGGTCAAACTTTTAGCTTYTGCTGTTTATTTTTCATGTTGTGTTAAATTATTTCAATAAGACATGAAAATACTGACACTTAAGCATATGCTTTAAACCTCCATCATAATATAAAACTGTGTGTATGAACATTTATTTAGCGTCTTGACTGCCAATAACTATTTATTTTTATTGTTCCACTTGATCCAGTTGATATATTCTGTATTTCTTTGAGGAAATTTGCATGACAAGCAGCTCACTGTAGGAAAACAAAATCACAATCATTTATAAACATCCATCTAAACTAAAGGTTTCCTCTGGTCTAAAGGGTTTCAGATCTATATAATCCGGTGGGGAAAAATTCTGCAAAACCAAACAAGTAAAATGATGTTTTACAGCTTTAAAAATACACCCGAGTATCATCTGCATAACAGCAAATATCACGATTACACTTTAAATTACGATTGTTCATTACTAGGCGAAGCGAGAGCTGAGCCAGAAGGTAAAGCTCTCGGTTTACCGGTCAGTCTACATTCCTACCCTCATCTATGATCACGAGCTTTGGGTAGTGACCGAAAGAACGAGATTGCGGATACAAGCGGCCGAAATGRGTTTCCTTCGCAGGGTGKCTGGGCTCTCCCTTAGAGATAGGCTGAGAAGCTCAGTCATCCAGGAGAGACTCAGAGTAGAGCTGCTGCTCCTCCACATCGAGAGGAGCCAGTTGAGGTGGTTCATCTGGTTAGGATGCCTCCTGTACACCTCCCTGGTGAGGTTTTCCAGGCATGTCTCACTGGGAGGAGACCCAGACCTCTTTTATTTATATTTTTAAAGTCCTGTCATGCAGCTAAATGCCTTAAGTAAAGTGTTGCAACATTGTCACCATGTATCATCAGACCTGTACATAACTCAAAGCAGTCAGGACGACACACAGTCCATCAGAGCTCACAGTGTTGTACTGACATCACGTGATGCTGAGTGTTGTCTGTTTTTAAGTTCATGTATTTGTATTGAGACACCATGAATGTCCTGCAAAAGATGATTGATAAAAAGTTGTCTTTCTAAGCACTGCACTGTGTCGGTTTAGCTTTTTATTATTTTTCTTTTTTTCACATTTTCAGCAGCTTAAATTATTCACACTGGGGGTCAGTTTTTGTGGGMTTTGAAGGTAAAATAAGCATCCCTCTGATTTAGGCTTTTGTAGGAAATAAATATGATGTGGTACGAGGGCCAAAATTAAGACTTTTGAGCAACCTTCAATGCTATCGCCAGCTTATCCATGCTAGTCACTAACCTCTCTGATGCTAATGCCAGCTTTTCCATATTAGTTGCTAGCCTCCCTGATGCTTTCATAAATGAATRGTTTCCTTCTCATTTGCTAGCGTGRGCCTCTCRGTTACCGGGGCCARCTGCTCAGTTAGCAGTGCCAGCCTATCATTAATCAGATCAATARATATAGCCTCCTGCTACAAGGATGTAGCAACCACTGGTTGTGCAATAGTCTTAATTTTGGCCCTCATACCGTGCCATAAATAAAAAGCTGTGGTACATCTAGTTACTGCAAATCCTACATGTACATTTACCTGATAGTCCTAAATGTCTCTATTTATCTAAAACAATTTACCAGTTTTATGCTCTAAAATATTTAGGAATGCTAAATCTTATAATCAAACAAAGAAAATGTATATTAAAAAGTACAAGTTGAACTCTAAATGTAGTTTCAGATTAACTTTAGTTGCACTTTTAGATTTGTTGGTTTGGCTGTTGCAGTTGATGGGAGCCACTTATAGGCTCATCTATGGTGAGGGAGCTCAACAGATGCTGTATCAAATTGGCCATCAGGCCTTACAAAAACTCCACATCATGCTACAATTCTATGATACATAAAGTCAACAGGATGCTGGAAACGACATGAGCCAAAGCTGACATGCATAAATGGACTTGGACCCCGGTCATAACTGCTTCGCCATTCTTGTTTTTCTTATTGTTGCTATGTTAAAATCAAGCCCATTTCTGCCACTCTTTCCCCTGAACAACAAGACAGTGACTTATTCATTAAAAACTGCACTTTAGACACATAAAACAGCAAACATGTTTTTAATAAACAAACACTACAAATATGCTGTGATGACTGCTTATGTTAAAATGCCTTTTAGCCTGGCACTCGGATGTGAAATGATTGCTATAAAAATAATTGTTTTATATTTTTTTTTTGTTTGTATATTGTTTCTATACTACAGTACTTTGTTCTTTGACAGAAAATCCAGACAGATTTGGAGAAATACTGCGGCTCACAGCTTTGTCAGTTTTTTCTAATCTTCCTCGTCTACCACCTCTCTGGTGTCCTTCTCATGTGTTGGATCCTCCGTCCTCTGAGCCTCGAGGCGCCAAGCTGGATGTTCAGTCATCTCTGAGAAGACGGGCTGCTGTGATCGGAGCTGACAGATTGACTTGAGGCAAAAACACTGCTAATTGGGAAGGAGAAGATGTACCGGGTGGAGGGGGCTTACGTTGAGGCACTGACTGAACTCTTGGTTCCACATCACTGGTTGTTGTCCATGGACACCAACAGTCTCCAGATTCTTCCCCATCAAGTCTTTATCWAAACAAAACTCTTTGAGCAACTTGAGCTTTGTTCTTTAACAGACTGAGAAATAGTTAATCCTTAAACTAACTGTTGGTCACTCTCAGATTGGTGGAAAAGCCTCAAGAACCAAATGCTGAATGTATGGCATGGTATGAGGGCCAAAATGAAGACATCCTTGTAACAGGAGTCACTAGCCTCTCCGATGGTAATGCCAGCTTATCAATGCTATGCACTAGCCTCTCCGATGCCAATGCCAGCTTATTTATGCTATTTGCTAGCCTCTTCTATGCTAATGCCAGCTTATCCATGCTAGTAACTAGCCTCTGCGATGCTAACATCAGCTTTTGCTAGTCTCTGGTTTAGGAATATCCTCCTGCTACAAGGATGTAGCAARCACTGGTTGTGCAATAGTTTTAATTTTGGCCCTCATACAGCACCATATGAACGAAGTTGCTGCAAGGAGAGCTGACTCCACATCTGCAACATTCATCCTTTTTAAACCCATAAGACTAAACTAGATGTTATTGCAGTCTTCAGATGTTTAACTGAAGTATTGTGCACATCAGTTGGGGATATTTTCATCAACATGTCCTCAGTGGGTTTGAATTTTGAGTTTGCGGGAGCTTTGAGGTCTGTGTGTGGACGACCAGGGGTTCGAGGGTCAGAGCGTGATGTTCTGGTAACGACCAGAGGGTTTGAGCAGGCTGAGCTGTCACTCCTCTTTAGCAGACGACGGCTGAGACGAGTGCCTGAACCTGCAACGATGGAGCTGTCGTCAGAGCCAACACTTTACCTTGTCACCTTGGAGGAGGCTAAAAATAAAAGCAGATGAAAGTCAAATTTATTTCCTGCGCCTCTGAGCTTCTGTTGACCTCAACTCGGTCATCGATCACTTCTCTTCCTTTTCTTACATTAAGGATCAGAAAAATTGACACTAGATTAATTCAACGACTTCAGTACTTCTGTAAGTTTTTATTCACACTTTAAAGTTTATCAGATATTCTTTTAATGATCGTAATTTGAGTGCCAAACTTAAATGGCACCTGTCCTCTCACTGTCTCTGTCACATCTGTCACTTGTTTTTCCCCCTGCTGATTATAAAGAAAGTCCCTCAGAGAGCTGAAAGCACATAATTATCTTCAGTCAGAAAACTCAGGTACAAAAGAAAATTATCCAATGAACGCAGCGCCTCTCTAACTGCCTTTGTTCGCAGAAATGAATCACACTGATGGCTCCTTTAGGGATGAAAAAGAACAAAAGAGATTTTAATTCCTGACTCCAGCCGTAAAGTTCAGATAATTGCACGCTTCATTGTTTCAATCTGATGATCGGGAGTGTTAGGTTTTTTTTTAAAAATGCAGAGAATTCCTCATAAAACAGGAGGAGAGAACAAGCATCAGGAATCAGAAAACTACAATAGTTTCAGATGTTTCTAAACTGCAGAGCCACTCTCTTTCCAAGGAGCTAAAATTATTTCTAATCTTTGGATTTTTCTGAAAGTCTTTTAAATTTTTCAGTTCTAGTCCCATGCTGCCATGAAAGAAAGGACAACACGAGTTTCAGGTTTTTATATTTAAAACTTTCTGATCAAGCAGGAAGTTTTCAGTCAAAACATGGTGCGTCAAGTCTGATTTTTTACTTAAAGGCCGAAAAAAATGCTTCACATCTTTTGCAAAACCCTTCACAAAGTGTTTTTTTTTTGTTTTTTTTTTTGCAAATTGCAAAAACTGGGACAATAAAAAAGTCATTTTTTAATTTATCATCTAGATGCATTCATCATTCTGCTCATAAATTAAACAAAGAAACGACAGGAACAGGAGATAAAAATAATTTAAGTGTTGCTATCTGAAGATGGTGACACGGCTTCTGGTTCAGTTCCTCCGACTCAAGCCTTCTGAGACCGGCTATTTTCTGAAACACTGCTGTTAAAGTGAAACATCAGGCTGCGTTCACAACTTAAACATTCAGGATGAAGCTGTTAAAATAACACTTTCTGTTGCAACCTCTACTTGTGCTTTGAAATAATTGTGCAATACCTTTTAAAACCAAATAAATACTTTTGTTGTTTATTATTACAGAAGAACACTTTGATTGTTGTTTTGTTTCAGCGTTTTGAATGAAGGCTACAGATCATGATTCTCTACATTTTAGTTTATATCCCAACTAGGAGTTGATCAAAAAAGTATTTTTCTTTCTCTGTTTGAAAAAAATTGCCGTGTAAAGCAAATACCTTTAAATCAGCCTCTATTCAGCTCATATTATTAATACAATTATCCATAATTAAAGTTTAATTTAAAAAAGATAGTGGAGCTCTGTCGCCCCCTGGTGGTTAAACTGAAAACTACAGCTCTCAGTTTTGAGAGTTTGTATATATATATTTCCTCTTAGTATTTTTTAATCTATAATAACTGAAATAAATAATTATTTGTCATAAATATATCTATGTTATTTAAGTTTTAATATATTGTTTGTACAATCTCATTTAAACATTAAAGCTTTAAAAAGTTTAAATATATTTAATAAATCAAAATCTATCTATTAGGGGTGTAACGATGCATCGATCTATATCAATATATTGATTTGAATGGTTCATGAATGATTCAGTTATATCGAGGCAAAATGAAAATATCGATCTATATCGTCATGTCATCGATGGGAATCAATATCATATGTCTATATAAGAGTGTTAGATGAGCATATAATATAGCATTTTATCAATCGCAGACGTGAATTGAACTGAATCAAAATCATATTGTGACAGACTTTGTGATATTGACAAATATCAAATCGTCAACCAAACATATTGATGTAATATATATATGAGTATGGCTTTCAGCAAGGCTGTAATCATTGTAATTATAT